GAAATACAGTGGTATTTACTGTTTTAATTTCCTTTTCTGCTACTTCTTTATCTGTCTATTTTGGGTTTATGTCAATGGATAGGTTGTTTCCTCTTCATTGTGGAGAAATTATTTGCATACCTGGTAATTTTTCAGTGGATGTCAAACATTGTGAATTTTACCTTGTTGGGTGCTGGATATTTTTGTATTTCTAAAAACATTCTTGAGCCTTGTTCTGGGATGCAGTTAAGTTACTTGGAAAGAGTTTGGATACTTTCGAGTCTTGCTTTCAAGATTTTTCAGTAGGACTGGAACCATGCTCAGTCTAAGGACTAACTATTCCTCACTGCTGAGGCAAGCCCCTCTGGTTACTTTACTCAATACCCAACGAATGATTAGGTTTTCCAGTCTGGCTGGTGGCATCAGGCATTATTCGAGGCCCTGAGTGAGAGCTGAAAGCTGTAATGTGTAATTTGGGGGAATGCTTCTATCCTTAGCCGGGGATAGCTTCCTCACTGATGTGTGCTGGCAAGTACTCAGCCGGATACTTGAGAGGTCTCCAGAGCTCTGTTCTGCAAATTCTAACTGCTTTGGACTCCTGGGATTCTCTGCTGTCTCTGAAACCATGGGAACCCATCAGGCTCCACTTGCATTTCCCATCTCTGTGCTCTGGCCTGGAAACTCTCACAAGGGAGTGACCTGGGGCAATCATAGGGCTTACCTCATTTGTTTCCTGTCTCTTAGGGACGACTGCCCTTTGTTGCCTAATGTTTAGAGTCTTGAAAAATGTTGTGTCATATATTTTTCTGAGCTTGGTTATTTCATTCTGGAGGGCGTATCTCATCACTGTTACCTCATCTTGGCCTATAGGAGAAGTGTCATATGTTTCTTTAAAAACAACTAACTGAGATAGCAGGGACCTGAGCTGAGCAATGGAAATAGAGAGAGGGGGAATAAAGTTCAGGGACCATTACAGACTATTCATTTAAAACTTATTTGGTGAGTACCTACCATATGCTGAGCATTGAGAAAAGGTGGTATCCTATATGAATATGGTGATGGTAGAGAAAGTGAGAAGTGATTGGATACAGGGGGTATTTTGAAGGTACAGCCCACATGAATTGCATATGTGGAGAGTGCACAGGTATGAAAGAAAAAGGAAACAAGGATGATGTTCAGGTTTTTGAGTTGAGTAACTGGGACAGTGGCATTGCCTTAACTGAGATGCAGATGAGTATGGGAGGATATGGTTTGGAGGAGAAGACCAAGAGCTTAGTTTTGGACATATTGAGCCTGAAATGTATATTCAAAATCCAAGTGGTTATCCAGAGGTAAACTGGAGTTTGGGGGAGAGGTCAGACTGGTGTTAGAAATTTTCAAGTCATAAGCACACAGGAGATTGGAGGAGGAAGTGCTGAAGAAAGAAAAGACACTGGGTCTATTGAAGGACTGAGTTTGGGACACTCCAATCTTTAGAGATGGGGATGAGGAGGAGGCTTCTTCAAAGCACCCTGAGAAGAAGTGACCAGTGAGGTAGGAGGAGAACAAGGGGTGTATAACACATTAGCTCAGGGAGGGAGTGATAAGCTCTGTCAGATGCTTCTGAGAAATAGAATGGAATGTGAACAGAGAAGTGACTCTTAGGATGAATTGTGATCCTGGCTGTCTTCCCTTTTAGTTTGGGAGCAGTGCTGAAATCAGAGATGTCTAGACTCCTCTCTCTATCCTCAGCACCCATCACAGGACCTGGCACACAATCAGTGTCTTGGCCATGTGCATGGGATAGCCAAGTGAATTCATAGGCTGTACACTGGAAATTCTAGTCTTGGCTATGTGACTAACTTGTCAGTTTTTTCTGACCTTAACATCTCTAGCCATACTCTGAAGGAATTGTCCTCAAAATGCTTTCAACCAGAAGTCAAGAGACTCTATAAAGTGTTGAGCTGACAACTCAACTTGTGGATAAGGAGAAAAGCAGCCCAGAAGTACACTGTGACTGAACTTGGGCTTTTTATAGAATCATCATACCTTGCTCTGGTGGAAAGGCATCCTCCCTGTGGATTCCAGTGTTCATCTAGGATCCCCTGCCCATCTCCATTCTCTTTGGTAACTACATGGTCTGCTGTCTTCCTTGCCAACCCTAGTGTCATTGTCATAATTTTTTGGTATCCCCTGTCCATCCCTGGAGCAGCTATTGCAAACCTTCTGGCCTCCTGCAAAGTCTGCATGTGCTCTGAAGCTGTGACCCCCCTCCTGTTTCCCAAAGCTGGGGTCTGCAGAGCAAATCCTTTCACTTGTCCCTCATTGTCCTCTACACCCACCTCAAATGTCTATCACCTGCTTCCCTCTTGGCCTGCCGCTCAGTCGCCATCACCCCTGCCATGTTCTTCCTCTGGTACATGAACCCACTCATCACAGCCATCCTTCTTGGGCTCCAGCCTCTACTAGAGCTTCTCATGGGCACACATATTTTCATTATCTACTGAATCCCTTCTCAAAACCTTGAAACTTGCTTTCTTATCTTGTTGATGTAGAATAACAATAGCAACACAGAGAAACTGTCCCAACCCCACATCCTCCTCCAGCTCCCACTCTATCTCTCTGCTTTCTCTCTCAGTGAGCCTTCTAGAAGGAGTTAGTTACATGCCCTATCTCTTGCCTGTCACCTCCTACTCCTCACTCTGAAACCCTGTTGAACACACTGTCTTTCCTACCACTCCTCATGCTGCTCCTGACAAGGTCACCAGCTGTCTTCCTGGGGAAACAAGTGTCAGGCTCTCCAGACTGCCCTTACCTTCCTGACTTGGGCTCCCTTCCCAAACCCTTCCTTGCCTGAGACTCCCTCCACAAAGTTCTCACACCCCTCACTCGGCCCTTGGGCTATCTGCCAGGGATGCAGCTCTTCAGAGCTGTACCCTCAGCCCTCTTCAATGCTCTCATGGTACCGGGTGGGCTCATCTCCCTGAAAGCCTCAACTCCAATGTAAACACTGACAGTGTCTACGTGCCCCTCAGTCCAGACCCCAGTGGGTGCCGGGCTGGCCAGAGTTGGCTGAAAGTGGGCCTAGAGTGCCATGGCGGAGGCTTGAGACAAGGCCAGGGCCTTGGGGGTGGAGGGCAATGGTTGGACAAGCCTTTGGCACTCTGCGAGGGGCATCAATGAACTCAGGACAGAGGCTTCTTGGATGTGATGCAGGAAAGAAGGCATTATGGTTGACAACCAGGTTTCCTGCTTAAGTGACAGGGAAGAGGGCAGGCCCCTTTCTGAGGTGTGTAAATAGGAGGAGAAGCCGATTTGTAGGTGAAGGTGTCAAGCTTGGTTTTAGCTGTGTTGGGTTTGAGGGTTTGGAGTATCTCAAAGATGTCCAGAAGGCAGTTGAGATACAGGTGGGGAGCTTGGGAGAGGCACCTGGGCTAGGAACTTGATTTGGGACATGGTGCTGACTAGAGCCTTGGGACTGGATGAGGTTTCTTGGACAGGGTGTGGACATGAGAACCACCAGCCTAAGTGCCGCATTCTGGGCAAGCAGCCTGAGGGGCAGATGCGATGAAGGGGAGAGTGTGTGATGGAGCAGCAGTGCGGGCAGCCAGGCTGAGGGAAGGGTGTGTTCCGGGCAGAGTAGGAGCAGGGCTCATGGCTGGGGGAATGAGAGGCATAAACTTGTGATGTGGCCCATTAGCTTCAATACTCCCTTCTTCAGGAGGCCAGCCCTGAAACTGATCAGTGTGAATGGCCCCAGCTTTGTTTGCATTGCCTGGAAATTTCTGTCTCCATGGTCTGATGCCTCCAGGGTCCAAGCAGGGACTCAGAGATGCTGGTTCCTTTCCCTCAGGTGCCCTCATTAGCATCCTACTGCCATCGTCCCACAGAGAGCACCAGGTGAGCAGCTCTGAGGCTGCTTGACGTGTCTGCCATCACCATGGCGACAGCTTCAGAAGCTGGAACAAGATGGACAGGGCGGGCTCTGGAACAGCTTCAGGGCTGTGCACCCAGCAGTAGGCAATCTGGGGTTGTGCTGACCAGCCCTGGTGGGGCATGCTGACCAGCCCTAGAAGGGAGATCTGCCTCAGTGTCTCTAACCACAGCCTCTCTGATTGTGGCAAGAAAGGGACACCATGGGACACAATCTCCTGTCTCTCTTAGAGATTGTTATCTCCTGGCCTATTCCTTTTCAGTCTGTTTTGTGCACAACTCTTAACTGTTGGAGTTCTCCGCAGCTCTGTCCTGGCCCCTCACTCTGTCCCCTCTTCCCCTGTGATCCCACTCACTTGCCACTTGCTCTCCCTTGCTTCCCACGCCCCGCCCATCTCTGAGTCCCACCCGTTCTCCTTCCTAAATAGTTCCGCACCCTTGCCCTCCCTCAAAACAAAACAAAACACACACACACAGACCGTTTCAACCATCTTCCTGTGTCCTTGTTTTGCAGACATCTGGCATATGCTCAGGTTGCTCCCTATCCCCGCCCCGCCCAGCCCTCTGGTCCTGGTCACCGGAGACTACCCCAGAACTCATACTCCTCAGCTGGGAGGGATGCTGCCCTGGGCCAGGTACACACATCTCCTCTCACAGGCCCTGGGTTTGGCAGGGGCTGGTTTAGAGGTGCTCAGCTGCTTAAGCATGTGCCAGATGTCTGCAAAGCCTGGGTGCTGGAAGATGGGTTAAACAGTTTGTGTTTGTTTTGTTTGGTTTTAGCTTTGACAGTCCATATGGCAAAAAAAAAAAAAAAAAAAAAATCCACTGGGGTAAAAGAAAAAAAACCCCACATTTTATAATTTAACGCTGTTTCCATTTTCAATTACTTATCAGGGTGGCAGAAGTACCATGATTTTTCTTGGTACTTGGAGCCTGGTACTTGGGTGATGCTGAATCCCACTGCCATGCACAGCCAGATCAGCACCTGAGGGTGCTGAAGCTTGCCAGGTGGGCCCAGGTTCGAGCCCACCTTGCCTAGTTGTATCTGTCCTGCCCTCTGTGAGTGTCAGGTTTCTGTGTGACCTTCTTCTTGGACCTCTCCCTGGCAGGTAAGGGTCCTGATCGTACATGGAGGATGACCCAAAAATCCAGCGGTGTAAAGAGCTCCCCAGCCAATAACCACAACCATCATGCACCCCCTGCCATTAAGGCCAATGGCAAAGATGACCGCAGGACCGGCAGCAGGTGGGTCCACTGAGGCTGTATGGTATTGAGAATGGCCCAGAGTCTGCTACCTCTTCCCAGCTCTGCCTCCTTGTCACAGATTAAGCCATCCTTGGCTCTAGGACAACCTCTAAGAGGATCATGGGATTTCTAGGCATGTGCCAGGAGGGGAGACATGGCATACCCAGAGAACCCTGGATCAACTCTGCTCTTTCCTCTGCAGGCCACAGTCTGCGACTGATGATGACACCTCCTCGGAACTGCAGAGGCTGGCAGACATGGATGCCCCACAGCAGGGTCGAGGTGGCTTCCGTAGGTGGGTCCTACCACTGCCCTGTTGCTCCCCAACTCTTGCACATGGGGCCTGTCAGGATGGCTACTGTGGCTCTATTCCTCTCAGTCCCACTTAGCCTGTCCTCTGAGAACTTCAAGGAGCACTGTCAGTCCCAGCCAAACTCAACTCTTCTTGCTCCTGATGCCTGAGCAGCCGCTAAGGCTCCTGGGAGGAGAGCTTGTAGTGGCCAGTCATACTTGGCTGTCTCTGCACTGGGGGAGGTATCCTTCCCAGCAGAGGGGCCTAGGAAGAGGGCCCGAGGTCTCCATTCCAGAGTCACAGGCGCCATGAGAAAATTAGGAAGCCTGAGGCAGGCTTCATTCCTGGCTGATCGTGCCTTAACACAGCCTGCATCCTGCCCTGAAGGCCTCCTGTTTGCTCTACACCATCAACTGAGATGACACCTCCCATAGGAGCCTTTACATGACACCTCTCCCTTTGGGCTGCATTCAGGGTCATGCCTAAGCCCCAGCCCTCTGCCCTCAGTGCTGGCCTCTGTCTCAGCTCTTAGCGCATGGGGACTCATGGCCTGGCAGTGTTTCCAGGTTTCCCTGCCCATCTTCTGTCTCCCTCAAGAGACTGAACAGAGGGTCTCCGCTGGGCTTATGTTCCTTCTCTCTCACCTCTAGGATTGTCCGCCTGGTGAGGGTCGTCAGAGAGTGGGCCAACAAGAATTTCCGAGAGGAAGAACCTAGGCCTGACTCGTTCCTTGAGCGTTTCCGTGGGCCTGAGCTCCAGACTGTGACGACACAGCAAGGGGATGGCAAAGATGACAAGGACAGCGAGGGCAAGGGCACCAAGTACAGTTGTCCAGCCTGTGGGGTGAAAAGGCCCCCAAGCGTGCAATGGGATGGCTCAGTGGAGTTTCTAATGTCACTGCTGGGGCGGACCAGGGGCTATTTGGAGCCCTATAATACTGGGGAAGGTGATGGGAGGGGTGACCTGCTGTGTTTTCAACCCTAGCACATTTGGATTGTCCCCATCACAGCCTCTCCAACATTCAGTGCCTACTTGCCATGGGATTCTCCAGTGGCTTTTCTCCCGTTAGCTGCCCCTTGCCAGATGCCCTCTTGCTTTTCCCAAATGTGGTCCAGCTGCAGCAGTCAGGGAATGCCAAGGGGGTGCGCCCACAGAGCACTCTGGAGGGCACGTCCTTCCTAGCTCCCTCTGATATGGGAGGAAGTGGGTCTTGAAGAGGCCATGTGGGGAAGTGGAGGAGGAGGCAGTGCAGAGGGGGCTGTTGGGCAAGGCCCAGATGATAGAGTAAGAGAATGTGGGGAGGGCAGACAAGGCAAAGCTGGAGGGTCTGTCCTTTGAGGAATGAGTAGGCGACTGCAAATGTCTGGCCAAACTGACATTCCTCACCTCTGGCCGGTGGAGGAAAAGAACCTTTGCTAAAGCAGGTGTCAGCATGTGGGAAAGTAATTTGGAGGCCAGAAATGGAGTTGGGGGCGGATAGGAAGTTCACTTGCCTGGAGTTCCTCCGTGTCCTCACTACTGCCCTATGGGGATCCCTTCCCAGGCCTGTTCCTACTGAAAGCTCTGTCCCTGGCATGCCCTTTAGAGCACACAGGAGCCAATGGGCCTATCTAGGGTCAGAATGGGCAGAGGGGTGTCTCTCACCCATCTGAGCTCCAGTCAGAGGCCTGGGACCAGCTTGTGGGTCCCTGAACAACCCACCCTCACCCCACACATCCTCTTAGGCAGTGCTTTCTCTGGGACACTTGTCCTCCAGGGTCTGGGATGCTGCCACACGTGTGTGGGGGGGAACTGATCCCTAAGCCTGACCTCTGTCTGTCTCCTCAGGAAGAAGTTTGAATTATTTGTTTTGGACCCAGCTGGGGACTGGTATTACCGCTGGCTGTTTTTCATCGCCATGCCTGTCCTCTACAATTGGTGCTTGCTTGTGGCCAGGTGAGCAGGCAGGGCCTGGGAGGGAGTGGCCAAAGCAGCCTAGTACACAGGCCCTTGGGTTGAGAGCACACCAGTCCCAGCTGTTGATATAGAGTTTACACCAACTCAGCCCTCCTTCCCTGGCTGCCAACGACACCTCCATCCACCCTATTAGCCCCAAACCTCCCCCAATTTAATGTGAAACCATGGCTGCTAAAAAGTGGGATTTGATTATGCCACTCTCTCATAAACCTGTCAATGGCTCCCCATTGCCCACAGGATGAAGTTCAAGCCCTGAGCATGGCCTTCAAGGTCCTCTGGACCTGGCCTTCTCTCTCTCTCTCCACCTTCTGGACATACCCCACCCCCACACTCACTACTCTTGGATCAAAACATGCTGCTTCCTTAAGAGAAAGTTCCCTTTCCCCATATTCAACACATGGAGAATCTTCCCCCAGCAGGCTCAGTTCAAAAGCCACTCTCTACAAGCAGCTTTGCCTGACAGCATCCCCAACTCTACTCCAGCCCCACCTCAGTCATTCATTCAGCAAGGGTTTGACTGAGAATCTGTTAGGCACTGGGGAAGATGTGGTGAAAAGAGTGCTAATGTGCTGGGGGCTGTGGGAGAGTCTCTGTGGGAATGGAAGGAGGCTGGAATTTGATTCTAAACGTGACTGAGTAGTCAGCATTAATCGCTCCTCCCTTTGACCGTACACTCACTGGACCTATGTTGAAGTCAGCTAAAATAAGGTTTTGATTGTAGAAGAAAGCAAAGTAAATTCAATTTAATTTGGACTCGATGATCTTTTCTCTCACTTGACACCATAACAACTATCATCCCGACTCTGCCCTCTCCCTAGGCCCCTCCCCACTTCATCGCCAAATCCTGTCCATTCCTCCTAAGAAGCTCCTGCAGCCTCCAAACTTTCTCTGTTCCTACTACACCCTCTCTTACCTGGATTGGCCAGTGCTGTGTGTTGGGTGGTCAATAGGTGTATGCTGAGGAGATGAGCATGGAGATGATTCAGTTGTGCACTGTAGTTTGTTCTTCCAATGACTTATTCATTCATTTAACCACACTCACGGAGCACTCCAATCCTTGGGCCCTGAGCTAGCCATGGGGCATGAGTAATAACTAAGAGGAGATCTCTGCCTTCCTGGAGCTGACAGTCCAGTGGGCAAGACAAAAAAGTAATGGTCAGTGGTGATGTCTATGTAATGATAAAGGTCAGGGTAGAAGTTCCTTGTCAGTGTCTCCTTGGCACCAAGCTGGCTGTGACTCAACAGTGCCCCTGGTGGCCATCCCAAGCCCTGTATACAGTGGCCACTCAGTTTGGGGCCTCCAGAGGGCGTTGGCTGGCTTTGAGGGTGAAGCACAGCCCTGTCCTTCTACAGAGCTTGCTTCAATGACCTACAGAAAGGCTACTACCTGGTATGGCTGGTGCTGGACTACTTCTCCGATGTGGTCTACGTTGCAGACCTTGTCATCCGATTGCGCACAGGTCAGTGAGCAACTGGAATGAGCAGGCAGTAGCATAACCCATAAGTCCAAAGGCCTGAGTCCACATTTTCAGGAAGCCCACTGGATGAGATGTTGGACTCAACTGCTTGGCTGAGACCCTGGTAGGTGACTGGCCTTCTTTAAACCTCATGATCCCACATGCTTAGAGAGATTTGGATCTGGGGGTTGTCTCTTAGGGTCCTTCTGACCAGCCCTGCTATATGAGCTCTAGCCTTCCTTGGGAAGGAGGGTTGAGTGGGCATTTCTTTCCTTGATGAGCATTAGTGTACAGAGAGAGACAGGTCTGAGGGCAGAGGTGATGTGCTGGCTTGCATCTCTACTAGGTTTCCTGGAGCAGGGGCTGCTGGTCAAAGATCCCAAGAAACTGCGGGACAACTACATCCACACATTGCAGTTCAAGTTGGATGTGGCTTCCATCATCCCCACAGACCTGATCTATTTTGCTGTGGGAATCCATAGCCCCGAGGTGCGCTTCAACCGTCTGCTACACTTTGCCCGAATGTTTGAATTCTTTGATCGCACTGAGACACGCACCAGCTACCCCAACATTTTCCGCATCAGCAACCTGGTCTTCTACATCTTGGTCATCATCCACTGGAATGCCTGCATCTATTACGCCATCTCCAAGTCCATAGGCTTTGGGGTTGACACCTGGGTTTATCCCAATATCACTGACCCTGAATATGGCTACCTGGCTAGGGAATACATCTACTGCCTTTACTGGTCCACGCTGACCCTCACCACTATTGGGGAGACACCACCTCCTGTAAAGGATGAAGAGTTCCTATTTGTCATCTTTGACTTTCTGATTGGTGTCCTCATCTTTGCCACCATTGTGGGAAATGTGGGCTCCATGATCTCCAACATGAATGCCACCCGGGCAGAGTTTCAGGCCAAGATCGACGCCGTCAAACACTACATGCAGTTCCACAAGGTCAGCAAAGAGATGGAAGCCAAGGTCATTAAGTGGTTTGACTACTTGTGGACTAATAAGAAGACCGTGGATGAGCGGGAAGTTCTCAAGAACTTGCCAGCCAAGCTCAGGGCTGAGATAGCTATCAACGTCCACCTGTCCACACTCAAGAAAGTGCGCATCTTCCATGACTGTGAGGCTGGCCTGCTGGTGGAGCTGGTGCTGAAACTCCGTCCTCAGGTCTTTAGCCCCGGGGATTACATTTGCCGCAAAGGGGACATTGGCAAGGAGATGTACATAATTAAAGAGGGCAAGTTGGCAGTGGTGGCTGATGATGGTGTCACTCAGTATGCCCTGCTCTCGGCTGGGAGCTGCTTTGGGGAGATCAGTATCCTTAACATTAAGGGCAGCAAAATGGGCAATAGACGCACAGCCAATATCCGCAGCCTGGGCTACTCAGACCTCTTCTGCTTGTCCAAGGATGATCTTATGGAAGCTGTGACTGAGTACCCAGATGCCAAGAAGGTCTTGGAGGAGAGGGGTCGGGAGATTCTGATGAAGGAGGGGCTGTTGGACGAGAACGAGGTGGCAACCAGCATGGAGGTGGATGTGCAGGAGAAGCTGGAGCAGCTGGAGACCAACATGGAAACCTTGTACACGCGCTTTGGCCGCCTGCTGGCTGAGTACACCGGGGCCCAGCAGAAGCTCAAGCAGCGCATCACGGTCCTGGAGACCAAGATGAAGAACAATGAGGATGACTACCTGTCAGATGGGATGAACAGCCCCGAGCCAGCTGCTGAGGAGAAGCCATAAGGGCTGGGGCCCAACAGCCTCTCCAGTCTTGACCTTCACCCCAGGAGCTAGAAGAGCTGTATAGATCTCCAGGTTTCTGTGCATTACTGTCATGTCCCCTGAATGCTTCCCAAAGCCTCTCTGACATTTAGGAGTCCCTCTCCAAGTCTGGCTAAAAGCCAAGCTTGTGTACAGTGCAGACTGTGTTGGGCTGGCTTCAGCCTGCCCAAGTGTGAGGAAGGAAGATAGGAGCAGCTGGACTGTCTTCCAGTGTCCTGTCCTGGGACTGGAGGCCTGGACAACCATCTGCTCAGAAGAATTGCATCTGCAGATCCATGTGCACCCTGCCACAGCAATCCCTGCCATCTGACTCCTTTGCACTTAGCCACTCCCTACTTGGTTATGGCCCCTACTTTTTCTAGCATATGTTCTGAATGCCCCCATTCATCTGCATATATAGGTAGTTTGAGCACTGGCTACAGACATTTAGTCCTGGGACCCAGTGTTTGTCTCCCAAGGCAGGCTAAGATGTGTGATGGTGGAGGGGGGTGGGTAGGAAGGTGGTCACTCAGGGCTGTCCCTCCCTGTCAGACACTCAAACTTCTGCTCTACCAGCCAGGAGTGGGGTCTCAGCTTCTCTGGGCCCGGGAGATGGGGATGCTCCTGGCTTCTGGTCCATTCTGGGGCAGGGCAACTAGCAATCCTCCTAGAGAAAGTGGTGGCTGGGTAGCTCTGGCCATTACTCCTCTATGCAGAGCATCTCTGAAGAGACTCTGATGGCTGCTGGTGGGCAGGAGACTCCTCAAGTTAACATAGGCATTAGAGACACCTACACGTTAATAAATTCCTTTGAACTATCTATGGTTAGTGCGGAACTCTGCTATTCACATTCTATCCCTCCCTCCATTAATCCCTTTCTCTTCCCCATACAGTTGTCCCTCGATGTCCCCAGGGGATTGGTTCCAGGACCCCCTGTGGATACCAAAATCTGTGGCTGCTGAAGTCTCTGATATAAAATGGTGTAGCATTTGCATATAACCTGCACGTCCTCCTGCATACTTTAAATCATCTCTAGATCACTTTAATACCTAATACAATGTGAATGCTATGTAAATAGTTGTTATACTATATTGCGTTTTATTTGTATTTTTTATTGTTGTATTATTTTTTATTTTTTTTTACGGAATATTTTCACCCTGCAGTTTATTGAACCCAAGGATGTGAAAACTGAGGATATGAAGGGCCTACTGCATACATGGGTGTACAAACATCTCTTTGAGATCTTATTTTCAATTTCTTAGGTAAATACCCAGAAGTGGGATTGTTGAATCATATGGTAGTTCTATTTTTAAATTTCTGAGGAATCTCCACACTGATTTCCACAGTGGCTGCACCATTTTACATTTCCACCAACAGTGCACAAGGGTTCCAATTTCTCCACATCCTCACCAACACTTGATATTTTCTGTTTTTTGTCGCCCCCCCAACCCCATTCAGAAATATTTCCAACTGAAATACACTGCCATATTCCCATGCCTGCCTAAACCCTGTAATCTTCAGGACTTAGCTCAGGCACCACCTCACCAGGGAAGGCTCCCTTGCCTACAACTGTTTCCCCACTAGGCAGTCAATCACCCCCTCTCAAGGCTCCCACAGTGCTCACGAGCTTCTCTGTTCTGGCCCTTACACTGTGTGGTCAGTTTTGATGGATCTGGTTGCCCCTCCAGACTATGATCTCTTCGAGGGAAAGGCCAAGACAGTCTCCATCTCTGGTCTGTTTGCAGCCTCAGTGACATATCTGGCAGAAAGGAGATATTCAGAGAATATTTATTCATTGCAGGAGTAAGTGAACACAGGAATGAATAAATGAATGAATGAACAAACAAACAGAACTGACCCAAACTCCTATGTTTCCACCTGCTAGCAGCTGTGCCTTTACAGAAACATTGGTTCTTCTGCCTGGGGACTTGGGGAGGATGCCCTGGACCAGCAGGCACTTGAGCAGACATTACAAGATGGTCAGGAGCCTGAAAGCAAATTAGCAGGCAAGACAATCTAAATGCAAACTCAGATGCCTTCCTGTGAGTGCGCACCACTTACTTATTTATTGTGGTAAAATACAAATAACATTTACCACTGTAACCATTTTAAGTGTACTGTTCAATAGCATTAAGTATACTCACGTTGTCCTGAAACCAATTTTTAGAGTTTTTTCATCTTGCAAAATGAAAACTATCACCATTAAAAAACTCCCCATTCTTCCCTCCCTCCAGCCCTCAGCATTCTACTGTATTTCTATGAATTTGACTAGTCTACGTATCTCACCTACATGGAATCACACAGTATTTTTCCTTTGTGCCTGGCTTATTCCACTTAGCTTAGTATTTTCAAGATTCATCCATGTTGTATCATGTATCAGAATTTCCTTCATTTTTTGAGTCCGAATAGTGTTCCATTACACGGCCAGACCACATTTCGTTTATCCATTTGTCTATCGATGAACACTTGGGTTATTTCTACCATTTGGCATTTGTGAATATTTCTGCTATAAACATGGGTGTGCAAATATCTCTTTGAGACATTGTTTTCATTTCCTTTGGATATATACCCAGTAGTGGAATTGCTAGATCCTATGGTAGGTCTATTTTTAATTTTTTGAGGGACCTTGATTCTCTTTTCTACAGTGATGATACCAATTTACATTCCCAGCAACAGTGCACCAAGGCTTCAATGTCTCCACATCCTTACCAACATTCGTTATTTTCTGTTTGTGGACAGTAGCCATCCTCATGGGTGTGAGGTGATATTTCATTGTGATTTTGATTTGCATTTATCTAATGAGTCATGATTTTGAGCATATTTTCACATGCTTGTTGGACATTTGTATATCTTCTTTGGAGAAATGTCTATTCAAGTTCTTTGGTCATTTTCTGATCAGGTTGCTAAGTTGTAGAAGTTCTTTATATATTCTGGAATATTAACCCTTTATCAGATACGATTTGCAAATATTTTCCTCCTTTCCCTAGGTTGCCTTTTCACTCTATTGATTGTGTCCTTTGATGTGCAGTTTTAAATTTTGCTGTCATCCAATTTATCTATTTTTGCTTTTGTTGCCTGTGCTTTTGGTATCACCATTCATTTTTATGTGAATTCATTTTTCTAGCCAGACTTCTTTTAAATTTGGTGTAATTTCTTGGCTTTTTCTGTACCTTACAGTAATAAATCTTAACCAGGAGAAGACTCACCTGGAGGTCCTGGTCCTTGAGAGTGGCAGCAATAGGCAGATAGCGTTCACGATGGGACAGATCTTTGTGTCTACTCTCCCTTTGGGCACTGGGCTGGAAGAAAAGGCTCTAAGTCCCTCCTGCCAATAGGAGAAGAAGTATTTGAAGACCCAACCCACTGCTTGCCAAGATGCTCTTTACTAAGGCTGTACTGAGAATTTCAGTTTTCATCAAGTGTTGGAACCTGGGTGAGGTGTTACTTTTGCAGCTTTGAAATGGTACTGTGGCCAGAGGCAGGGGATGACTGCAATACAATTTTTTGTCTTGGTTTTAGCAAGAAATTTGGAGTGTTTCTCCCTGGAGTCTGGTTCACCTTCAGTTTAGCCCCAACAGCTGCCCAATTTCCAGCCCACAGCATGGGATGGACATTGTGTCTTGAATCTGGTTGTCCCCAGGGCAAAGCAGGTGGCTCTTCTGGATCACATGGGCAGCCTACTGGTTGAAGCTGAGACTTTAGGGCTCAGCTCCCACTCTCTCCAGCTTCCCTTTCCCCAGATGGGGTCCAATCTCCCACAACTTTTTGCTGTGCCTCAACTGTTTATGTTCTCTTAAGCTTTCAGGGCTTTTCTCATGCTCTTCCCTCTGCCTGGATCATCATTTTCTGCCTTTTCCTCCTTTGAGATCAGGTCCACAGGTCCCATCTCTGAGCCCCACTATAGCTTTCTATGAGACATTCATTGTACACTGATCTGCAAGTGTCTGTTTAGCAATTAATCTCTTCTTTTCAGCCAAACACAGTTTATTCATTGAGAAAAGTATGAAGGAACGGCATAAGAATATCTGTGCAGCTTGTCCGTGTGTGTGTGAGTGTGCTCCTGTGTCTGTCTCTGGCCAGCCCCCACCTACCCCACCTCGGGTTGCTCTCTCTGCAAGAGCATGACTTTCTCCTGTCTGTCACTGGCCCTCGCCCCCACCTCTCTCCTGTAGCTGGCTGCAATGTAAGAACTGAAGTACAATTTCCATTATGTGTTGTATTTATTCAACACAGCCTGATGTTCCCTGCTCTTAATGTAAAAATGTTTAAATTGTACTGTTTTTATATTTTCCTGTGAAAATACTCATTGAAGGTAAATTGCTCTATTTGAATATAGCCATCAGTTTGCTTTTCTCTGCACTGGTGACCTTCTATGGAAAACAAAGCCCCTGCTCCAGCCCACCACTCCTCCTCCCCTTTCTATCTGACCCTTGGTGGCCCCTGCCTGATTTGCAGACTGCTGCCCCCACCTGGCCCAGCCTGAGTCCCAGTCTCAGAAGCATTTATCTGTTCCTGGCCTGGAGCTTAAAGCTAGTTTGATCACTAGTCCTCTCCCTTGAGGGGAGGCCAAGGCAGAAGGTCTACCTCTTCTGTTTAGTCTGGGAACAAGGAAGCTTCCAATGCACAGAGATGGGGAATCCGACCACCAGAGGGCGCACAGACCTCAGGAAAGGGTGGTAGGCTCTACCGTGCAACCTCCCCCAACACCAAGCAGAAGACTGAGCAGGGCCCGCTGAAGGAGTTAGGTAGCTGTCCCCAGGGCCTCGCACAGTTGTTGGACCAGGTCTTTCTCTCACAATGTTCTGCTGTGGTCCCTTTGAATGCCTTCAGAGGTTCCTGGGTGTCGAGACCAGTCCCCTAGTCCAAGTCTGCATGCTAGGTACAGACTCTGCTGGAGGTTGGGGAAGGAGGGAGTGTCAGGGTTGAATTGCAAGGGAACTTGGACACCATGGTTATCAGTACTATTTTAATGTACATTCAGAAAAGAAATGCTAATAGTATGCAAATCCCTTGATGCTGTAGACAAGATTGCTTGGCATGGATCTAAAGAAAACAATCAACTTATTTAAAGTAGATTTAAGGAAAATGTTGTAAATCATTGTTCTGATGGCACATGAAGGCAGCACACAGATGACAGTGTATATATGTCCCAGTGTCCACTGACACCACCATGGTATTTCACAAGTAACATCCCCACAACCACCCTCTTGGTTGCTCTTCTTGCAAACCTGCTCACCTTCCCCATGTTGGAAATGGCCTATCTGTCCTTCTCCTTGCTCAGGCCAACCCTGAAAGTCATCCTGGACTCCTCTCTGCCAGGAAAGTCATCCTGGACTCTTCATCTGCCACATCCAGTCGGCCAGGACATGGCCTGTGCTTTGCTTTCACAGCACAGTTAGAACAGTGCTCCCTGCCCTTCTTCACTGTGCACCCTGGGCCAGGTCACCACCGGCTCTCTTCTGGACAGCTGCAGCTGCCCTCTGCAAGCCATTCTCCACCAGGCCTGTGTGGAAAGTCGCATCTCATCGCTCCTCTGCTTACAACTTGTCCTTGGCCTCCAGACTCAGGCTGTGGTCTCCAGGTTTTGCCTGTGCGGCTCCCACCAGGGTCTCCGGCTGCTTTCTTTCCTCTGCTTCTCCTGCCCCAGGCCTTCTGGTCTCCCTCCTCTCAGTTCCAGCTTCTTCCTGCCTCTTCCTCTGGGCCTGGTGGTGGCAGTGATGGGCTTCTTGTCATCAGGACTCCACAGTGCAAGGCACCCCAGCCCCTCAGCCATGCTCCATCTCACCACCCTGTCCGGTTTGCCTTACACACATATCAGCTTCTGCAATCACCTTGTTTATTCGTGTCTGTTTCCCCCATTAGAATGTTGGCACCCTGAGGTAGACATTTCTGCTGGTTCCCTACTGTGTCCTCAGCACCTAGAGCAGCTGCTGGCATATCATAGTGTTCTTT